AGGGTTGGGTTCAAACGAGAATGATGCTCAGTGAAAAAAATAAGAATAAATCGTATCCATTAGATCGAATCATCTAATGGCTAAAAAAAAGTCAAAATTATACATTGATTAAGGGTAAAGGTGGTGAATTTACACACATCAGAAAAAAATGTGAGTCCCAATACATATTAATTCACCGTAAATAACCTGCCAACTACCCCCATCAATCAGCCACACCACCCGACCCCACCCCACACTCTCTCACACACACTCACACACACAATACACACACAGCAAACCCGTACCCACTCCCGTCGCAATTCATCAGAAACTCTCTGCCACCGCCCGCCGTCTGCCGCCGTCGCTCCTCAGCCGGACTCAACCCATCACACACACACACACACACAGTCAGGGGCGTAGCCAGAAATCAAAAGTACCCTGGGCTAATTGTCCATCAAGATAGAGCTCGACTCGTTTAATAAAATTTGCGAGTTGAATGATGAGTCAATCTCAAATCCTAATAGCTGAGCTAATTTGAGGGTTCATGAAATTACCTAAAATATTAGAATGATTGAGCCTTATTGAGTCGAAAAAATCACCCAACCATAAAGTTCGAGCACGACTCGATTAGGAATATTAATGACTTGAACTCGAGCATTAATGAGCCAAACTTTCAAGTTGCTCATATCATTTAATAGCTCTGGGAATGAAAAAATATTAGAAACTATGGCTTAACTAAGAATGACATGTACAATATTTCATGCTAACTACAAATATTGTAAAAATGAATAAGTCCGTCGCTTAAGTGAGAATGTTGTACTTTGTTCGTCTTTACTAATTGCTGAAACAAATCATAAATGATAGAAATATTTTCACATATTAAAATTATGAGTTATAACATCTCATCAAGATTAAGTTAATAACAATTCAAAGAAAAATCAATTGTTGTTAAAACGCATAAATTACTAAATATGATAATAATAACTTAGAAGAAAATTCAATCTTACAGAAATAAACAATATATTCTACAAAAGATTGATCAGGGTCGTGGTTCTCATGGACCGGAATATTCTTACAATGAATTTTAATTTGTAAAACCATAATAATGCATGTTTTATATGTATGGAAATGGAAGAGTAAATATTTTATTGACAGTGTAAAAAAATACCAATAAACTCATGTATCTCATACATCATTCAATTAAAAAATGAGTTTTTTATTTTTTTTTAAAAAAATAGTGAATACAAAAATTAGAAACTCAAACAATTAGAAACATATACCATTTAAAAAAAATACACTAAACCCATTATTATTTGCCCAATGCAGATTTTTTTAGGTATTTCAAAATTAATTATGGAATGTGTTTGGTCCACGTTAAAAAATGAGAAAAAATAATTGAGCAACCAAAGGAGCGAAAAGAAATTTCAGGAAAACTGTTACATTTATTAATGGAGAATGATTATATTGGGCTTAGCCTTTTCGTGCATAGGTTGAACCTGGGCTATCTAAAACATGGGCCAACATATATATACATTTTGTTTGAAGAAACTTAAATTAGCTTGGGCTGGAGCCCACCCAGTCTTTGGGATGGCTCCGCCCCTGCACATAGTAACGCACACACAACTCGTCACACACACAGTAACACGCCCACACAACCCGTCCGCCGCCGTCGCACCTCAGCCGGACTTCACGCCTTTGCCGCCGCTCTGATTTTTGCCGGCACGCGCTTGACCGACGTCCGCCGCTAAAAGTCCGCCAGGTGCTGCCTCGCTCGCTGCCAGAGGAGTTGAGCTCTAAATCCCCGTCGTTGAACACGCCGTCTCCGACGTCTCCTTTACCGCGAAGTCATGTCGCACACCGGTCGCCGCCGCAACCATCCAACCACCGGAAATCTCCGACTCCACTGTCCCGTAGGCCATCTCCGTCGCGGACCACATCCGTTCAAAAGCTTGGACGAAACTCTGCCCAGGTTGGCCATCATGTCCGACGCATCGGAGATCCCTTCATGTTCGGCGTCTCAGTCGCTGTGGTGCCGGTGACGGCAGATGTGAAGATCTGAAATTGAAGTGTGGTGGGGTTGTGCCTTTTTGTTGAGAATTACGTTAAGTTTGGAGGTCTATTTGTAATTTTAATAATTTGATTATATTTCAATTGAACCCCAAGGGTCAAATCTGTAAAGAATGAAAGTTAATAAAAAATGATTGTTTATACTTTATATACTTTGTTAACAATGCATATATATTACATAACAAATAAATTATTAAATAAAAATAATATAAAATATTAAAATAAGTTATAATAATAAATAAATTATATAATAAAAATAATAAATGAAAAGATATTTTAACTATTTAGGTTAATTAGATGTAATATTATATGGATTAAAACTAATTTTCGGATACATATGAGAAAGAATAAATTAGTGCATTTTATATAGCGGAATATTACACTTTATAAATCAACACATCGAACTTTATAAAACAACACGTAGCACTTTATAACCACACTTCACAATCAATGTCAACAACTCCCGCCAAAAAATTACGCAATATAAATATAAAAAACTGAGTGACATAATACTTTACTATCCATCACATCATATATCCACATAAAAAAAACACAAACCTGTTAAAATACCAGAATATAGGTATTGCACTCTATATATCAATATATTGCACTTTATAACATAACACGTTCCACGTACTAAAATTGCGGTAATTCTAATGATCGATCGAATAATATTAATTGGTTAATGTCGGATTTCGTTATTTTTAAATAAACAAAATAACCGAACATGCCGAACTATATGAAAAATAAGACCGATTTCTTTTTATTTATTTATATTTTTTACTAGAAATGATATTATTTTTTGTCTATATTTTTTATGTATTGCAGGTGCACATTAGGGTTATACGAATTGCACGTAAATGTCTATCAAATTGCACAAAATCGAACAATATCCGGCGAACAGAAATTCAGTACGAATTTTTATATTTTGGTTCTATTATTATTATTATTATTATTATTATTATTATTATTATTATTATTATTATTATTATTATTATTATTTTGGTGCAATGCCATTTTTTATTTTAATAATTGAAATAAAAACTAAAAATATATTAAAAAATATTATTTTTGTATATTTTCTATACAATAGCAACCACAATTGACAAGACCAAAATTTTCGATTCCAAATTTAATATTGGTAACAATTATGTATTTTTTACTTGTAATTTTATGATATTGACTACAACATTATAAATATACATAATAAATTAATTCAGTTATTTGATAAATTGAAATAACCAACAAGTGTACTATATAACCATATATTAAATTATTAATGAATTACAGTGCACCGAACAGTAATGTGCAATGCGTTCATCAATAATGTGCAATCAACTGAATAGTAATGTACAATGCATTGAACAATATTGTGCAATAATTAAATGTTTCATAAATTACATATTTAACCCATGAATTAAATTCTAGTATTATAAACTTTCAAAAATTGCTATTATGTCCCTTAAACATTTCAAATTCTCATAATAAGGCCCAAATTCCCAAATTCAAAATTTAGGTTACTCTAGTGCATTCTCCTCGGCAGATGGTTCGTCTCGCTGCTGGAGGGTCTGTGGAGTCGGCACGACCGGTGGGTGGTTCCTCTCGTCGTCGGCATCACCTATGGCGTCCGGCTGCTTGCTGTGGCGTGACTGGTGGCGACGACTTGGTCCTGGCCGGCTGCAACGTGACTGGTGGCGGCGGCGGCAACTGGTTGCAGACATCGGATGACGGAGGTTAGGCAGGTACAGGTACAGGCGGAGGGCGGCTGCCCGGCGAACCTCCGGTGGTCGGAAAGTGGACGCGAAACGGATGGCTGTTGGCGGTAGGCGCCGGCGATATGGCAGACTGCCGGCTTGCCTGCTGGAACTGTGTGTGTCTGTGTGTAATGCGTGTGTGTGTGTGTAGTGCATGTGTGCGTGTTCGGTGTTCTGTATAAATGAGCGAGAGAGAGGTTGAGGAAAGGGAAATGGGTAGTGAATTAATTTAATGAGTGGGTCCCACTGCTATAATATATGTATATTGAGAAAAGAGAAGAATGGGTCCCACGGTGGTCAAATACACATATTTGACCACAATGTGATCAAATAATTACTAGAATGCCATTAATGATTGACCATAGTTTGACTTCATGAGAACCATTGATATGCTTGATCTCATGGTCCAGACTTATTCTCATTTCTTTCACTATTTTTCTTTCTCATATGATCCCTTCTATATATATATAGATAGAGAGAGAGAGAAGAGATCATATGAGAATGGTATATAGTGAAAGAAATAAGAATGATTATAGACCATTGGATCCATCAAGTTAATGGTCATGATTAAGTCAAACTTCAATAAGTAATGGTCAATCATTAATGGCACTCAGGTAATTATTAGAATTATTGTGGTCAAATATGTGCATTTCACCAATAATTAAGGGTATATCAGTCATTATCCTATTTTACATCTCAACTAGTGGGACCCAACCCAATACCATCCCTTATACCTCACACACACAAATCACATTCAATTCCACACACACACACACACACGCACTCAGCACACACACAAACACACACTAAATTACAGCCGCCCGACACCCGCCTTCCTCCGCCTACGGCCGCCCACCGCCGGCCGCCATAGCAGGCGACCACCGCAGACACGCCGCCTTCCTCTGCCCTAGCAGCTTCCTCGCCCTCCCCTCCTCCCGGACACGCCAGAATCCACCCAACACAAACCACCGGTCACCGCCATTAGCCCAAACTCTCCCGTCGATGCTGCCACCAAACTACCGAAGTCGCCGCTACCACCCCGTCCAGCGCCATCAGCCATCCCAGCACCGGAACCACCGTCACCTGCCCCTTTCTCAATCTCCCTCAGCCCCTTGTCGAGCGCCCCAATTGTACTGACGGCGAGGGATGTCGTTCCGGGGAAGTTGCAGATGAAGACGGTATAGAAGGTTTGAGTGTTGCAGACTAGTTGCACGCGACCTGAACGAGATGAGCTCGCTGGCGATTTGAAGGAACGGGTAAGCGGCGGCCGGAATTTTTTTGGGGCTGGCGAATTGAATTGCGATTTGGGTGAAACGTGAATTGAAATAGGTGAATTCCAATTTAGGTGAAATAGATTTAGCTGATTTTGGGCGTGAATTGTTGGGTGATTTGGCCGGAAATTGGATTTGGCTGATTTGGGCATGAATTGTTGGGTTCCGGGAATTCATTGTTGTGTGATTTTGGTGTGAATTCAATTTGTGGTTAGTTTATGGAAATTAGGTTAATGTTATGGACTATTTTATAATTTTTTAAAAACTTTAACTATAACATAAATATATTATAGTGGATAAATATTTATACTAAATTACTAATAATTTTTTGAATATAAAAATATTGTGAACGGCTTTGATTGTAAATGTGTAGTGTAGCATACTTTAATCGAACCGGTGGTATTTTTATCACAAACCAAATCAAAATTGATTACAAATGGTCGTTTTACTCGGTCAGTTATTCGATTTAATCAAAATAACTGAACTAAAATTATTATGTATATTTATAATATTGTAGTCAGTATTTTAAAATTGAAAGTAAAAATAAATAATTGTTCATAATGTAAAATTTTGATTTAGTCTGGTCAATTTTTGTCGCGCTTCAAAAATATAAGAAAAAAAATTAATATAGTTTATTTTATATTTCTGTTATTTAAATAAAAAAGATAACACCGTATAGAAATACCCGATATATAAAAAAAATTAAATAATCGACCAAAATATAAAATTTCGTACCGAATTTCTATTTGGTGTATCTCGTTTGATTTTGTACAATCCGGTAGACATTTATGTGCAATCCGTATAACCCTAATGTGCACTCACAATACATAAACAATATAGATAAAAAAAATATTAGTTTTCATAAAATATATATATATATATAAATAAAAAATATCGGTGATATTTTCATATATTTTCGCATGTTCGTTTATTTATTCCATTTAAAAATAAAAATAAAAAACTAAATTCGACATTACCCAACTAATATTATTCCATCGATTAGCATAATTACTGTAATTTCGGTACGTGCAGCGTGTTGTTTTTTAAGGTGCAACATGTTTTGTTATAAAGTGTGACGTATTGGTGTATAAAGTGCAACGTATTGTTTTTGGTACGTTAACATGTTTGTATTTTTTTAGATAGACGATATGATAAAGTGTAACGTATTGTTTTATAAGGTGCGACATTCTGTAATATAAAGTGCACTGTCTAATTTATAAATTATGTGTATAATTGTACATTGAACTAACCTAAACAATTAAAATAGTTTTTTATTTATTATTTTTATTATAATTTATTTATTATTACAAAATATTTTTATATTACTATGTATAGTATAAAATACATTTTATATTTTAATAAGTATATTTACTAATTTATAAAATTTATAGTTGAAAATATAATATAAAAGATATCAAAATCTATAAAGTGCAATCGAGCAAACAATAATGTGCAATTCGTCTAACATTATTGTGCAATCGACAGATCCAGTATTTTTTATGTGTTTCAAATTCATAAACTTCAATAATGTGTATTTCAATTATCATTATTTTTTGCATTTATCAGTTTTTTTATATCGTAAAAATGTATTTAGTATTTATAATTTTTGTATTTAGTATTTAGTATTTTATATTATTAATCTAATTAACATGACCATGCATTTATTATGTTAAGGTGCAATTTTACTAACACAAAAGTGCAACTCGTCAGTCAATAATGTGCAACATGTTCAATAATATATTAATATTTTATCTTATTTGTATTTAATATTTTTCTATTATCTTATGATTTTAAAATGTATATAAAAATAGTATACTTTTATATACTTTTTGTAAATTACAAATTTGACACAAGTGTTAAATTGGAATATAAAAAAATTTGTTAAATTTACAATATTAGATTTACAAATTTCTGAAAACTACAAATTCAATCCATGAACTAAATTGTAATTTATTGATATCTATAAAAAATGCAATCAAGCCCCTATAAGATATCAAATTCTCAAAAACAAACCCCCCAATTTCAATATCAAATCATGTTCTCTCTGCCACCTCAGCCCCCTTTACTTGCCGCCGGTGACCTCTTCTCCGATGGTGGACGACAGACGGACGGCGACGGCGACGTCAACGGGAAGGAATGACGACCACGATGTTGAATGTAGCGGGCCGGAGGCGTCTTCACCCTCTACACTTGCAAACGGAGGAGCTCTGTGGCGGAGGAAGTGACAGGGACGTCACGGTCAGTTCCCGACGTACGGGGGACGACGACGACTAGAGATCCGGCGCCAGATCAGACGGTGGCGTTTGGAGTGACAGTCGGCGGCGTGCGTCGAGCAGAACGCCGACGGAGTAATTGAAGTTGTCGGCGGATGATGGATGTCGGTCTGTGGGATGGTGGTGCCGTGGTCGTCCTGCTCGTGCGTGTCTAACAGCGAGCTCCGACGGCGGCGTTTCAGCGTGCTCCGGCGGCGTCGTTTCAGCGTGCTTCGGCGGCGGCGTCACACTGGGCTCCAGCGACAGGCGGTGGCGTGCTGCGGTGGCGATGGCTGGGCAGGGCGGCGGCCGACGGTGACTGGTAATGTGTGTGTGTGTGTGTGTCGTGTATATACAGTGTGTGTAGTGTATGTGTCGTGTATATAAATTGGGTGTATGTATTGTTTGTGTGTGTCTGCTGAAGTGTGTGTGCGTGTGGTCTATGTGTGTGTGCGTGTGTTGTGTTTTGTGTGGCATGTGTTTTTATGTATGCATGGCGTGGGTTTTGTGTGTGTGGTGATGATGTGTCATGGGCCCACTAATGAGTTGGATAAGTGGATGGTATTGGTAATGTCTAAAATACCCTTAATGAGTTATTTTGTCTTTTTTATAGCCATTAGATCATCCGATCGAATGGCTATGATTTATTCTTATTTCTTTCATTGAGAACCATTCTCACCGGAGCATGACCGTATATATATAGGGATTTGTTCAAATGCATCTGCTTATTTAAAGCGAGGACGTGAGACTCATTCCTATCCACAAGATATAGATCTTAATTTAAATAATAATTTTTTATTTTTATTATTTAATTCTTTATTTTTAATTATTTAAATATTATTATGACCATTGACCGTGGACTCCGGCGTTGACCGTTGACTATTTGTCTTTTGTTGTTATGTTATTCTTTCTTGCTAGGTTAGTTGTGTTTTGTTGCTAGGTTAGTTGTTTGTTGTTGGTAGGTTTTTTTTTTTTTTTTTTTTTTTTTCTTTTCTAANTTTTTTTTAAACAAACAACGCCTCGGGAAGGCGGGGGATTGGGCTGGATCCCCAACCTGTGCATAGATCAGGGCCCCAAAAACGGGAGCCCAATAATGTCAAAGACCCAGATACAAGGTCTACATAGTCTGAGAATCAAAACCAAAACCAAAAGAAAAACAAGAAAGAAAAACCGAAAAACGAAAAAGAAACAAAAAACTACAATATAACGTCGATCTTGGGGCTAACAGATGCCCGAGATAAATGTCTATACTAATGAAAATAGAAATCCTATACTAGTGAAAGCGGAACGCTGGGTATCCAAGCTGGTCCATCCGTACAAGAGTGCGAAGGCGGAGTGGAGCAGTGTCTGTCTGGAATGTATGTGTGCCTGGTATGGTGGCGCCAAGGCTGGCCAGGTAATCAGCCGGTCTGTTCCCCTCACGGAAGATGTGTGTGATCCTGTGATGGACTGACTGAAGTAGATCTCTAATGCGCAGAAGCGGGTGCTGAATCTGCCACGAGCCCTGATGGCCCGAAGTCAGGAGGGTGGCGACAGCCGCAGCATCCAGCTCGATCCATATATGACTAGAGATGTGGGTAGCTATCTGAAGGCCAATCTGTAGTGCCTGAATCTCTGCGTCGTAGCTCGAGGAGGCCTGAATGGACGCGTGAAAGGCGGTGATGAGGGCGCCGCTATGGTCCCGAATCAAGCCTCCTCCTCCGGCAACTCCAGTGTGGCGATCGAAGGAGCCATCAGTGTTCAGCTTGACCCACGGAGAGTCAGGTCGAAGCCAAACAACAGCTCTGGCCCGAGGAGTCCGAACAGGCGGTGGTGTGGCCACCGTGTAGCGATGCGGTGGCGTGCAGCCTGTCCAGTCTCGGGCCGTGAACCTGCCCAATGAGATGAGGAGTGAAATGTGTCTCTCAACCTGCAAAACAATGTGAGAAAACATAAAAGTAGTATCCCTATGCTTCACACTATTCCTTTCTGTCCAGGTGAACCAAAGGATCAGACAAGGAATGAGGAAGCCCACGTGTCTAAGGTGTGTGCTCTGTGAGAAAAAACTCAGGAGCTCAAAAAAACTGTATGTGGTGGGTAAGGATATATGGGTCCAAGTGGCAAAATGCTCCCACACTCTCCTCACAATCTCACTCTCTAGAAAAAGGTGGGTAAAGGTCTCAATCTCATGGCGTCCAGTCTCAGAACAACACACACCGAGATGGGAAAGAGATCCCCCTCGCGTGTAGCACAGTATCGACGGGTATCCGGCGCAAGAGAAGGCGCCAAAGGAATACCGAAATAGTAGGCGTAAAAAGGTCACTCCAGATAGCCCCGAAAAGGAGATTAGGCCGATCCCTCAGCCTTATCTGCTCCCAAGCCGAGGTAGTAGAAAACACACCTGATGATGTAAGTCTCCACCTCATGCTATCTGAACCGTCCCCCGAGATAGGGCTAAGTTTGTTGTTGGTAAGTTAGTTATTTGTAGCTGCTAGGTTAGTTGAGTTTTGTTGCTAGGTTAGTTGTATTAAGTTGCTAAGTTATTTTTTTCTTACTGCTAGGTTAGTTGTCTTTTATTGCTAGGTTAGTTCTTTTTTGCTGCTAGGTTAGTTGTCTGATGCTGCTAGGTAGGGCTGCCATTCTTTAACCGAAAACTGGAAACCGAACCGAACCAAACCAAACCGACGAGAAAATAAACTGAACCGTACCGAACCGCTTGTAACGGTAACCGACTATCGGCTACCGAATCACTATCGGTACGGTATCGGTTTGAACCCATAAGTGTTCGGTAAAATCGATACCGAACCGATAAGAGTAAAAAAAATAAAACAAAGATTTTTTTTTTAAATATTAAAACAATGATTAGTTGTTTAGTGTTCAAAAATTGAAATAAGGATTCAATCCTACCTAAATCTCAAAATGATGAGAAAAATACCATTATGTATCGCCCCATTCACCTTCTAATCGGAACATTATTGGTTTACCAGTCTCACTTAAAGAAGATGCATGCTACCATTACTGTAGTCTATTCTCGTACCACCATTACTAGATAAGTTAGTTGAAGTTGTATCACAAATTTTATTTCTTGCATGTTAGCAATATATTGTTTTATTAGTTGCGTTTACCACAAAAACCATAATCTAATAATATATCAACTAACTTCTATACAATAAATTTAACATTTTCAATCCTTTCAATGGATTTGTGAGTCTTTTGTGTGTATTTAATTGGTAAGAAGTGCAAAAAAATTACAAAAATGACGAGAAAAGTAAACACTAGAATTTTTTTTTTTTGTGCTCAAAATCGGTTCGGTTTTTTGGGTATAAAACCGATATCGAACCGAAACCGAACCGAGTTTTCGGTTACCAAATTTTCGGTAACCGACTTTAATCGGTTCAGTATCGGTTTTGCATTCCGAGGTTACCGACATTATCGGTACGGTATCGGTATACGCTTATCGGTTCGGTAACCGAACCGATACCACCCCTACTGCTAGGTTAGTTGTCTTTTGTTGCTAGGTTATTTCTTTCTTGCTGCTAGGTTAGTTGTCTTTTGTTGCTAGGTTATTTCTTTATTGCTGCTAGGTTAGTTGTCTGATGCTGCTAGGTTAGTTGTCTTCTGTTGCTAGGTTATTTCTTTCTTGCTGCTAGGTTAGTTGTCTTTTGTTGCTAGGTTAGTTATCTGTAGCTGCTAGATTTTTTTTTTGGTTAGCTTCATTAGGTTATGAAATGGAACCAAATCACCTTGAAAACCGCGATGATGAGGTCGTGATACTCGTTTGCATTCAGCGACAGGTAGCACGCGAGCAGGTCCTCCAACTCCTTCCTCCCCCTTATATCATTCTCCACTATCATCTCCACCATCGACTCCATGAAATCCCTCCCCGGATACCTCGACGACTTCACCACCACCAGACTCTCCCCCACTCTCCACCTCCTCCGATTCCTCATCCTCGGCGTGTTCACGTTCGTTCTCAGCCTAACTCTAGATGAAAGGTTGTTTCCCGACAGTCGCCTCACCGGACTCCCAGTCTGCTTCTGTTGTTTCTGGTTTTGTTGTTGTTGTTGCTGCTGCTGATTCTGTTTCTGCTGATGCAGTTTCTGCAGGTTTTGTTGTTGATGCTGTTTTTTAGTGATGATCGGCAGGAGATCACGGCGATCAAAATCAGAATTCCGGCGGCCGTCGATAGGAGGAATGTCCTCGAAACCGTCGTCGAGAGTGAGGCCGCGGTCGCCTTCGCCGTCGGAGGAGGGGACGGGGCGGCAGATGCAGCCGGAGGTGGAGGAGACGGAGCGGCGGCGTGTGCTCCGGCGACGCCGGGAAGACGATCTCCGGTGGGATCCGGCGGAGGGTCGGTGATGAGGCCACGGCTGAAGTAGTAGGACTTCCTCTGCTCCTGGAAGGAAGGCAATTTGTTAATTTGCGGCGGAGGTGGAGGTGCTGGCGGGAGGGAGGACGATGAGATGGACGATAGGGATGAATGGGAAGAGGAGAAGGAGAAGGATGAAGGGGCAGGGCCGCCGGCTGGCCGTGATTTTGCGGTGGTTTTGGTTCTTGANAATGAGAGATGAAAGAAGAACAAAAGAAGAAGATATCTGTAGCTGCTAGGTTAGTTGTCTGTTGTTGCTAGGTTATTAATTTCTTGCTGCTAGGTTAGTTGAGTTTTGTTGTTAGGTTAGTTGTCTTAAGTTGCTAGGTTATTTCTTTCTTGCTGCTAGATTAGTTGTTTTTTGTTGCTAGGTTAGTTATCTGTAGCTGCTAGGTTAGTTGTGTTTTGTTGTTAGGTTAGTTGTCTTTTGTTGCTAGGTTATTTCTTTCTTACTGCTAGGGTAGTTGTATTTTATTGCTAGGTTATTTCTTTCTTGCTGCTAGGTTAGTTGTCTTTTGTTGTTAGTTTTTTTTTTGTTGCTAGGTTTTTTATTTCTTGCTGCTAGGTTAGTTGTCAACGGGTCAACGCCGGAAGTCAACGATTTTCACCGGAAGTCAACGGTCAACGCCGGAGTTAACTAATAATTATTTTATTATTTAATTAATGTATATTTTAATTGATTTTGATCTAGATAAAATGAGTGGCTAAGATTGAGTCTCACGTACTCATTTTAAGGAGTGGTCCCATTTGATCCGCCCCATATATATATATATATAGCGTGTGGTTCAAATGAGAACCAAGTGCTAGTGTGAGAACCGTGAGGACCGCTATTTTTAATTGTACGTAGTGTTATAATTAATTATGTTTTAATACTATTTTTAATCAAGTTGCATTTGACTAAAAATAGCAACACAATTTATATTAGTATTTGTGAAAATAATAGCACCATGTAATGTTGAAAATAACATCATACACAATTAAAGATAACATCAAATACGGTTCTCACACCAAGATTAGTTTTTATTTGAACCAATCTCAATCTTAAATATGTGCGTTTTAACTTCTAAGACGGTGTACTATGAAATGTGTTATGCAATGTAATATTACTAACGGATTACTAACCATGTAATTTACAATTCATTATTAAAGTGATCGTCACAACTTGTGATACCGTGAAAAATATTTTTAGATCTAATAAGTTATCACATGTGGGACTAATAATATCCCTTTTTAATCATTGCCACGCTAATACATTCTCACTATCTTAGCTCAAGGTTTAACAATTTGTTTTAGATCCCCAATCGTACATTTGTAGCTTCATAATTATAAAAAAATTTACAAGTTAGTGCAATAAAAACCTACAATCGCATCCACACGTACATTTTCGTAACAGTGCTAATTCAGAAAAAGGAATAATAATTCATAAAACTTAATGAATCAAAATTATTCACTCCCAAACTCAAAAATTTCTACCCTCAAACAACATAGAAAACATTCCCATCAATAGCTTTCTCTAGTGGTGTACATAAAATGGTTAATCGACTGAAACCGACCGAAACCAAAAATTTGGTTTGGACCGAAACCAAAATCGAATATTTGGTTCGATTTTCAGTTTATATTTCCTTAATATTTCGGTTTTCGGTTCAGTTTGGATAAAAGTGATCGGTTATCCAAACCGAACCGAAAACTGATACTATTCATATAAGTTACAAAGGCCCATAATTACCCACCAAGCCCATATTTTTTCTGGCCCATTGATATAAAAAGGGGTTACTATTTACCGCCCCCCTTATTATTATGTACCGCCCCCTTTGGACATTTTTGCCCCTGCCATTTTTTTCCAAAAAGTAAAAAAAAAAAAAAAAAAAAAAAAAA